ACTGGCCACGGGAAGTTACTGTGTTAGAATAAACACTGGCCACGGGAAGTTACTGTGTTAGAATAAACACTGGCCACGGGAAGTTACTGTGTTAGGATAAACACTGGCCAGAGCTGCATTCCTATGATTCAGCGTTACTAAGGGTTTCGCTTGAAGAGAATTTAGAGTCCAAAGGTCCATTTGGCTGTGAGACCCTTTAAGTGTGTTGCTGCTAACCACAAGAATCTTCTGGCAATGTGTCAAAAATATCCTCAATTGATCACATGGTTAAACTGTATGTATTTCAACATCCAATGCTTTCTAAACTGTACTAATTTCTCTTAGTTGCAGAAAATTAACCAGATCATTAATTATTTTTCAAAGACAGATGGAATATTAATTTTTTTAAAATACTGAAAGTAAATTCTTATTTCCCTGATCCTAAATGCTTGGGACCAGAAGTGTCACATGTTTGGAGGTTTGAGAATATTTTCATACCTTTTACAGACTGAACATTTCTCATATAAAATCCCAACTCTAAAATGCTTCAAAATCTGAAACTTTTGTTGATGTTCAAAAGTTTTGGATTTCAGACATTTAGGTTAGTGACATGGGTTTGGTGAACTCATAGCTGTGAATCTCCTGAAAACCAAGTGCTCACGCTGTATAAACGTTGCTTGTTTGAGTTTGATGTGATTTGAATTCATATACATTCTCATTTATTCATTTATCAAGCAATAATTCTTATATAATTTTCAGTTTTTATGAAAAAAAGATCTGTAATTTAAAAATGTGGTTACTAGCCAGGCAGTGGTGGCACACACCTTTGATCCCAGCACTCAAATCTCTATGAGTTCAAGACCAGCCTGGTCTACACCGCTACACAGAGAAACCCTGTCTCAAAAACAAATAAACAAACAAAAAATAAACAAAGAAAAAAAGTGGTTACTTTCATGTAGACTTTTTTTTTTTTTTTTTTTTTTTTGAGACTGGGTCTCATGTAACCCAGGCTGGCCTCAAAATATACATACAGCTGAGAATGACTGAACTTTTGATCCTCCTGAATCTATCTCATAAGTGCTGGTATTACAGGCATGGACTACCACAGCTAACT